TCATCATAGGTCCATGCAAAATGAATCGGTTTAGCACGCTTCATCTTGAGTAATTCCGGAGTGAGGGACATACATACAGCAATAAATCCCTTCATATCACATGTGCCCCGCCCGTACAGCCGGCCATCCTTCTCCGTCAGCGTGAACGGGTCACTGTCCCACTTCTGCCCGTCCACCGGCACCACGTCGGTGTGGCCGGAGAGAATGATGCCGCCGTCCGTCACACCGCCGTCGCCCGGCAGCGTTGCCCACAGATTCGCCTTTGTCTTCTCCGCGTTGTGCACCAGCGTGCACTTCACACCGAGTGCCTCCAGGTACTCCTTGCAGTAGTGGATGAGGTCGAGGTTGGAGTTGTGGCTCGTCGTGTCGAACGCCACGAGCTTCGCCAGCCACTGTTTAGCGTTCATAAATGATTGTAGAAGAGAGTTAAAATGGGTAAACTTGAGATTAAACCTGGTACCTTGTGGCAATAACGGAAAAGGAGGGGAAAAGGGGAAAAGAATAGGAAATGTACGCATAGACGACACCCTAAATCCAAATGTAAGAAATGAAACGAATCCCACCAAAAGGACACGGCACCTATCAATGCAGCATGTGTACCTGTAAAGGGTCACTGTTCTGAGAGTAGAAATAAAATAAATAAATAAATAAAAACCGTTTTATATTTAAGCTACGTTCACGAAGAATCCTTCTAAGAACTTCCAAGTTAACGAGACCCCTCTTGCACTGCGCCCAACATATCATGAAAACAGCCCTGATGTCATACAAAAATATCTGCAAATTTAANCCAGCCACTCCTTATGATCCATCGCCTGCGCCGCCATTACTGGGAATCTCGCAATTACTTAGCCTTATTTAATGGAATGCAATCTGGAAAGGGTACAATGCAAAGAAAGAAATTAGTAATAAAAGAAGAATACAGGGGCAGAGTGTATAGATATTTAGTCTACTTCCAGAGTGGCATAATGCAGCAACAGTGCAAAGTGTTAGAATCAAATAAGTGAATTCATCATTTTGCATTATTGAGTACCACAAACTAGAAGAAAGTAATACAACATACGGGAAAAGCTCAATAATATCTCTTCGTAGGACAAAATATCAAAAAAAAAAAAAAAAAAAATACCTATTTATGAGTTCATCATAGAGTTTGCACCATGAAATAAAAGGAAAGATAAAAAATAATTTTCGATAGCAGGATGTGGCCGCCAAAAGCCATACCAAAAGAAAAAGTAATTTCTCAGATATAATTAAAAATAAAACTTACAGATGTGCGGAAGAGAACTTGAGGCTTTCCGCTACTTTCAGCAGGAAATCACGACACTTCTCCATCTGTGAAACAGTTACGTACTCATTAGCACAGTGAATTGCATCACCGAGGGGACCACATACCACTGTAGGAATGCCTGCAATACCATCAAAATACCCTGCCTCAGTGCAACCAGCAGCCTTACGCACAGCTTTATCCCCTGTGAGTGCACGTGCGAGCTTAACAATGTCTGACTCCTCATTCGCTTCAAAGGGCGGTACTGGACCCACCGCGGAGATCTCAATACTGGCATCCGCAAGCTCCGCTCTCATGGCTGGAAGCAGCTCATTGTCCACGTATGATCGCAGGCGCCCGTCGATTGTGGCCGCAGTGTCCTGTGGAAGGTTGCGGAACTCGAAGGAGAACTCACACTCGGCTGGGACAGTGTTGACGGCGTTGCCTCCCTTGATGAGGTTGGTAGACAGCGTCGTGAAGGG